TTGTGTACTAATAGAGGGGTGGCTCTGTGTACTGAGATGGGAAGCTGGACACGGGGTGTGGATGTTATAGCACCTTTGGAGAAGGGGTTCCTGAAAAGGAAATGGGGCCCCTCTCCATGCTCTGCCCTATGAGAGAAGGGTTTAATAATTATGCCACCAAGACTGGTGTTCAATTCATACAGGTAGACAGAGAGGCCAGCATCTGTGAGTAGAGAAACTGAAGAAGGCTGCAGGAAAGGCCTCAGCATGGGTTTCCCATCCAGTCCACATACTCCACCCACTTCTCAAGGACACCCTGTTAGTGAGCAGCACAGTTGGATAGTGAATGGAATCTCTGTGACCTGTCTTGGGACTGTACATACCATGGTGATAGTAAGTGGCCAGCGGTGTGGGTGTAAAAAGGTGGCATCCCCAGCTATGTCAGCCATATGGGTTTGGAACATTTTCCAGTTCTGGTCATTCACCTCACTCATGTACCTCTCTACTATCAGTGGCATCTGTCCTGATAATGTTCTCGGTAGGAAAATCATATCCACCCCAAGACCTGGGGAACCAGTTGGGTCAGAGGTGGGCACACCAGTGCCTTGGACCCAGGCTTAGCTCCCCAGGGGTTTTGACCTGGGAAGTTGAGGGAAGCTTCTTGGGAAGGTCTTCCTGTGCTGATTCTCATCCTGTGCCTGCAGGGATGGCACTGAGAGTACTTGGGAAGGGAGCTGCCAAGCCTCAGGAACACCGAGAGAGGCCCTTACCTTGACTGGGACTCCTTGTGAAGACAACAGATACTCGCTAGAAATGGGGTGACCCTGTTCAAACTCTGATCACCCCTGAGAGCTGGGCCTCTCACCAACAGGGTGCTGGTACTCCAGTGCAGCCTGGCGACAGTTTCTGGTCTCATTATGTGCTGGGTTAGTGGGATCTTCCTAATTGTCCCACAAGACAAGGAGTCAGGTATGGGCCAGCCCTGAACATCAGGAGGGAATTCTGTCAGAACTCCACTTATTGTTAATGCTGTCAAATCAGTTCCAACTCATAGTGACCCTATGTATGAGACACCGCCCGGTCTGTGCCGTCCTCACAATCGCTGCTACACTTGAGCCCATTGCTGCTGCCATTATGCCAATCCGTCTCGTTGGAGGTCTTCCTCTTCTTTGCTGACCCTCCAATTTACCAAGCATGATGTCCATCTAGGCTCCACTCTGGCCCCTAGATTCTCACCCATCGAAATGCTGAGATCTTTTAATTCAATTGCTATTCAAACTCCAACATCACTTTTTAATGAGATTAAAAACCTGATCACCAACTTTATATGGAAAGGAAAGAGGCTCTGGCTAAGCAAAGTACTTCTCTAAAAAAGGAAGCTAAAAAGAACCTTGTAGGAGGCCTCAAACTTTTCTATGTCAAAGTTACAGCCATGGTAGTAAAACAGCCTTGTACTGGTACAACAACAAACACATAGACACATAGACCAGTGGAGCAGAATTGGGACATCCATCCACCTATGGACAGTTCATCTTTGATAAAAGGATAAAAATCATTAAATGGGGAAGAGACAGTCTCTTTAATAAATGGTTTTGAACAAACAGGATATCCATTTGCTGAAAACTGAAGCAGGACCCCTATCTCAGACCATATACAAAAATGAAATCAAGATGGATGGATCAAAGGCCCAAATGTGAAGCCTGAAAGTATAAAGATCATCAGTGCAGAAATAGGGACAAGCTTATTGTAGCTGTTGTTGTTGTGTGTTGTCAAGTCAGTTCTGACTCATAGTGACCCTGTATAGGGCTTCCAAGAGTAACTGTGGGTTTAAACTGTTGAGCATGTGTTTAGCAGTCCAGTGCTTATCCTACAATGTCACAAGCTTAAGGGCCATAATGCATGGCATAAATACACTACCATACATAACTGAAAACACTCCAACAGAAGAAGACAAACAAGATGACTAGGATCTCCTAAAAATCAGACACTTATATACATAAAAAATTTCACCAAAAGAGTAAAAAGAGAGCCCATGTTCTGGGAAAAAAAAATTTTTTTGGCAACAATGCATCAAATGTGTAGAAAGCTTTAACATCTCAACAAGAAAAAAGACAAATAAGCCAATTTAAAACTGGGCAGAGAACAAGATGGTTGCCAGTGGTGGGGGAGAAGGGAGGTTAAACTACTAACCAGAGAGGAGACACATATTGAGTGAAGGGGAAGGTAGTAAACAAACAAATAAATAAATAGACAAATGCTCAGCTCTCAGACAGAGTGCATAGTCCAGGAAGGCCCACAATTCCTACATGTCCTTCTGCACCCAACCTGGCCACAGGCCCGGCATGCATTTTGATGTGGATGGAGACCTGCACTAACATTTAAAAATTAAAATTGGAATGATACCTCCTAAGAAGACATGGAATAAAGGATATTATTGCCATTTTCAGATGGATCTTAGCTTAAAACAGAGAATACCAGAAAGATGTTTACTTGTGTTTTATTGACTATACAAAGGCATTTGGCTATGGGGATTATAGCATACTATGGATAACATTGCAAAAAAGTGGGAATTCTGGAACAGTTCATTGTGCTATTTCAGAGCTTGATTAATGACCAACACATAGTCATTCAAACAGAACAAGGGTTGAAAATCAGGAAAGATGTGCCTCAGAGTTATAACCTTTCACCATATTATTCAGTCAGTATGCTGAGCAAATATTCTGAGAGGATGGATTATATGAAGAAAAACATGGTAATAGGATTGGAGGAAGACTAATTTAACAACTTGCAATATGCAGATGATATCTTACTTGCAGAAAGGAAAAGGGACTTGAAACACTTATGGATGAAGATCAATATGGATTACACCTCAACTAAAAAGAAAAAAAAAAAGGAAAAAGTTCTCACAACCGAGTCAATAAGCAACATTGTGAAAATGGAGAAAAGATTCAAGTTGTCAAGGTTTTCATTTTACTTAGATCCACAATCGACATCCATGAAAACAGCAACCAGGAAATCAAATGATGTAGTGCATTGGGCAACTCTGCTGCCAAAAGTCTCTTTAAATTGTTAAAAAACAAAGAAGTCACTTTCAAGACTAAGGTGCACCTGCCTCAAGCCATAGTATTTTCAATCACTTTACATGCGTGTGAAAACTAGACAATGAATAAGGAAGACCAAAGAAGAAGAATTGATGTCTTTGATTTATGGTCTTGGCAAAACATATTAAACAAATCTTTGTTAGAAGAAGTGCAGCCAGAATGCTCCTCAGAAATAGGGATGGTGAGACTTTGCTCACCATGTTAGCAGGAGGGACAAGTCCCTGAGAAGGCTATCACGCTTGGTAAAGTAGAAGGCAAATGAAAAAGAGGAAGATCCTCAACAAGGTGGATTGACACAGTGGCTGCATCAATGGGTTCAGACATGGGAATGATCCCGAGGATGGTGGAGGATCCAGCAGTGCTTGGTTCTGTTGTCCTCTGTGAACTGTTGCTCACTATGAATTGAAACCAACTCCATGGCACCACTGACATCTCTGAACCCTTTGAGTTGAAATTGGGGAGTCATCTGATTATTTTCAGATTGAGAAGTTGAAATCTGCACAGACCAGGGTACATTTCTTGAACATTTACTGTATGCCTGGCACCATTCTAGGTGTTTTATAGCTAATAACAAGAGTCCTGGTGTGGTGCTGTGGGCTAATGTGCCAGACTGCAAAGTCATTTGAACTGCAGGGTCGGTGGTTCAAGATCACCAACTGCTCCTTGGAAACCCTATACAGGGTTGCTATGGGTCGGAACCGATACAATGGCACTTAACAATAACAACAATCTTTCTGTGATCACAGCTGTTCTATGAAGGGGAGGGCAAGGAAGGGCTGACATCATTATTCTGTTGTATGGATATGAAAACTGAGTAGGAAAGTGATTAAAAATCTTGCTCAAGGATACACATCTAGTAAATTGAGGGAGTGGATTGGAATACTATCAGTGAGTGTGCACATGTGCGCCCCATGAGTTTGGAGACGGTATGAGGTACACCCTTGACTCTTAAGGAGAGCATGGGCTGTTACATGTGGCTTGCCCAGGTGTGCATGGCTGATCCTGCAGCGCCCCCTGGTGGTCACACCACTCACACTACTCATTGACTCTTGCAGCCCTTCCCTGTGGCTCCATCAGAGAAGCTACCTGGGTCTACAGGTACAGTGTGCTTTGTGAAGGGTCACCTAGCTGAGTCTGTGCAGAGTCGCCCCAGGTACCCAGGGCTATGTCTGGGGAGTGTGGACCTGTTAGGTTCTGCTCTGTCTTGTGCAGGGGCCAAGGCTGAACAGAATGAAGGAAGAGACTCATGGGCCTAGGACCCTCCTCTCCTAGTTGAGCTCTACTTTCTAGGCGAGGTTCCTCTGATGTTCTAGGACATCTGGCACCCTTTGCCTTCAGAGTCCATCATTCAGTCTAGAACCCAACATCTGGAGAGACTGAACATGACTTTGACATCTGAAGGACTTGGGTTCGAGTCCAACAACCACCATTCCCATGTTCTCCCTGTCTTTCACTCACTGACCCTAACTACAGGTCCTGCCCAACCCTGGTGTGAATGACACAGAGTGGGAGTCACACTGATTCTCAATCCCAGAGAATTCCTTGGAGTGGAAGAGAGACACAGATGCAGACAGTGCTGACTCAGGGTGGGCTGTATGATAATAAACACAGACTCAGGACCAGGCAGCCCAGGGAGGGAAGGCTTCCTAGAGGAGGGATGTTTGGGAGAGCCTGAAAAGGAGCTGGAGCTTGTCAATAAAAAGTGGGAAAGGCACTCCAGAGAGAGGCAGGAGCTGTACAAAGGCTTAGGGATGAGGAGCAGCCTGGTGACATATCAGAAGAGAATCCACGGCCAGAATTGGAGTGGCTGAGGCTTGTGGGACATGCAGTCTCCCACTGTAGGGGGAGAAGGAAACTGCCCTGCTGAGACTCTGCCTCTCCTTAGGGTGCCCCCAGCCAAGCAGACCCAGGTCCTGAGCCTCAGAGCTCCTCTTGGACTCCTCTGTCCTTCTGCCTCTGCTGCCACTGCTGGATCATTTTGGGCAGTGTCTCTTCCCAGAACTGCATTCGAGCTTCCCTTAGCTTCTGACCAGCCCTCGGCGCCAGGCTGAGCTCCAGGTGTTGCTCTGATTGGGTGAAGCGGGGCCAAAAAGGCAGCCCCTTGCCATTGGGGTCTCTGCAAGGGAGAAATGAATGAGGACCAAGGGCTCCAGTGAGGTGCCCCTGTGGGAAGACCCCAAGGGACCCAGGTTTAAGACAAGTTATGTCTCTCACTCTTACCCTGTCCGGGCAAAGTGGGTCCACTGGGCCATCATGGTGAGGCTCAGCTGCTTCTCCTCCTCCGTGGCCTCTGGAAAGGCTGGATGGACAGATCTAGATCAGGATCAGGCATGGCCCAAGGGCACCCCACTGCTGACTCAAGACTTCTACCCCTTGAAAGCCCCACCCCTAGCCTGGGAAGCTGGCAGCTTAGGGGTCATGTGATAGTCCTTACCCAAAAGAGAGCTCTCATCTGTGAGGAAGGGACCCCCAAACATAAAGGCCAACTCAGCCCCATGGTCAGCTTTCACCCAGTCTGGTTTGATTTTCACAAAAGAACTGGGTCGATGCTGAAACTCATACAGAAAGACGGGAACTCCAGAATCTGCAGAGAGAGGGCAGGATC